GGGCTAATAATCCACTTGAGATGTAGCAGACGACCAGACGCGCCTAATCGAGAAGATAATGTGTGAAGGTAATGCCTAATATCCGCAGGAATAGGAATCAGATATGAAGACCAAGATGTTGTGGCCTCTGGTGTGGCAAAACGTTTGAGAATGTACCAATTCCATTGTCTGATGCTGGGAATCATGACGACTACTATGGCAGACGACTTTGAACTAGGTAAGTTCTACTAAGTCACCCTGACAACAAGATCAAGTTGCGACAACGAGGTCAACCCACTTCTGTAGGAATCAGAGCCTAGGCGCTCTGAAAATAAGGCGACTTTGTACGTGTTACTGAAGGCTTGAGAAACAGCACTTAAAGTAAAAGTACGCTGGGGCTGGAACCGAGTGAAATCGGTCAACCGAAAAGATAAGAAACGGACCCACGGATTCATGAGGCAGATCCGGAAAGGAGGCTAGAGCAGGATCAGCTACTCGAAAGGGAGGGGAGCAAAGCAGAGAGCAGATGTGAGGATGCCACGGTAAATTCGCCAATAGAGCACATCTCTTATGGGATATAAACATGCCAGAAGTTGTGATAGAACGAGGGCGAGACTAGAGGATAGGAAATGGATAGAGGCAGAAAATTGTCTCTTTGACGAGTTGTAGCTTAGTTGCTGAGACTGACAAGAATCACTGACGATGCCGAATACGATGCCGGTGAAACGTTTGGGAATGTACCAAGTCCACGGTCCGACTTGGGAAATGATCATGCATACTATGGACTCCGGACTAGGTGCCAATATGACCAAGTTGCGAAATGAATTTAAACAACTTATATGTTCATATTGGTTTCGACTAGTTTTATGCCATCTTTATCATTGCATATTTTGAACGTAGAGCAATTACACCTCTAAAGTATTCCACGAGAATATTCAGAAAAAGCCCATTTAACACGGCCGTCAAGTAAAGCTTCCAAATTATTTGGTTAATCAGAATAATTTAGCCCAGTTCACTGTACACGCTAGGCCAGGAATTTTTAATTACCAGGCTTAACATGATTACATGTACATATTTTCCAAAATTATGTAAGAAAAACATGTGCCTACACAAGCTTGGCTATTTGGTTAGTTCAGGCCTAGCACTAACTAATAATTTGGGAAAAACTTGTATGGAAAAGCTCACTAAACTAAACTAAGTTTACAGATTTTCCTACTTCATACAATTATAAATTACATTCTTCTTAACTTCGTTATCTTAGCATTAAGAAAGTCAAGTCTGTTGCCAATATCTTGAGGTAGTAGCAGTATAAATGAATATAATCTACAAATGGCAGATTGTATTTGCCACTTTTTCTTAAATTTAACATTGTCTTGGCCTTTCTTTGACGACCACGAAAGAGAAGACAGGGTCGACAGGGATCTCCAGAAGTTCATTTGTTGCAACACGTTTGAAGACTATTAGCCTTATAGGAGAGTGCTACATAATTGTATCAATTGTATTTCCGCCTCAAACGAATATGGTAATGCATTTACCCAAACACACTGTCCTATCGAGTTTGCTTATCTTTGTTCGTCTTATTAGCTAAGATATCATTTAATCAAAGCATTTATCTTCATTGGCATTCCTTCGTCTGGCCATTTTGTCTCTAACAATCTGACAATGTTAACGTAGATGCTCTGAAAAAGTCTCTAGTGATGAAATTCTTGGACCATATTTGAGGGAATCCAGCTTACGGATATTAGCCAGAATGCTAGAGCGGACATTAAAATAACATTATTTCCATTATGTTAAATCTATCCCGGATTTCAAAATTCATAAAAATGTTGTATATATTAGAGGATATATGGAAAGATATCTGCCCATATCCAGGTGAATTAAAGGCGATTTTATGTTTATGCATTAGCTGTTCAATATGAAGCATTCTGACGAGCGATATTTCCACCTCATATAAAACCAAACTAATTGTGGAATTAATAAACAATATACCAGACATTTGCACGAAGAAGCTGCATGATGAGCTTCTTCATTTGCAATTAAACCAACCCAAAATCTTCATAAAAGCCTTTATAAATTGTAAGCTATCTTAGATCTGAATGCCTATCTCAGCTGAACTACTTGCAATAAGGTTTTGGAATTTTGGCTGTTTAAGAGATGCGTAGCTGTGACAATAGCTGAATTCGGCTTCGTTATGTATACATTTTATTGTAAAATTTCACCTTATACATGAGTTGAACTAGTTCTTTTATAATTTTTAATATATTATTATGTGGATAAACTAGTCACAACAAGTAAAAATGAATAAATTTATTCTTCCAATTTAGAAATAATCGCAT